ATGATCTCCTGACTTGTTATTATTGTTGTTGTTTGGTTTCCCTCAGCAACACACCGTTATAAAAAAAAAACAAAAACAACAACTTTGGTGCCAATGAACGTCTTGAAATTCTTGCCTAGTTTCTAAAAACAACATCAAAACAGCGACAATGGCAGCGGCAGCAGCAACACCACCAACAACAACATCAGCAATGACAACAAAATATCAGCGAAAAGAGAAAAAAATGAAAATCCCACTTCTAAAGAAACAAGGAACTAGAACCGAACCACCACTCACTCGTTCAACGAACGAACTATGATTTGTTTTTTTTAAGTTCAATGACTCGTTACAACAACGTCATGGGCAAAACAACAAAAACAACGAAGACGACGACAATATCAACAACAACAAACTATGACTGCAACTCAAATGCGTTGCTTGTACAAAACTCTCTCACACACACATACAGTCACAGTCAGGGAAAACAAAATGCATCACTCACTCCGCATGGAAGACAGAAGCCTTCAAATCTGTCAAGGGCGGGACGAGGAGGAGGAGGTGCACGGAGGGAAGTTGAAGAAAATTTATTGCAAAAATTTACTTGACATAGACATCATAGTGTAGTTGGTATTGTTGTTGCTGCTGTTGATAGTGAAATGTGTTGTAAACAATTATTGCAAATCAAAAACAGCAGCGGCAACAACAACAACGCCACCACCAGCAACTTACTAAGAACGATAAAGGCAACAACAACAACAATAGTCACTGAACCAGCAGCAGCAGCGTTTAATAAAGACGAAGAAGATTTCTAATAAGTGAAAAAAGACCAAAAGCAACAACAACAAATCATAGATAATTTTCTAATACTTTACTGGCTGTGGCACTGACTGACTGTCGGACTGACGTCCAGTGATGATGTTGATGATGATGTGACTGGCATACATGTGGGAGTCATGGTTTTTCCTGGAGGCATTTCCAGGGTTAGAAAATTAAATTTGCTTACACACGCTCGTAAAATTTATAACAACAACAGCAACAAGAAAGCTATAAAACTTTTTTCGTTTCTTGTTAAAATTGAATTTAATGAGCAATGTAATAGTGGGCATAATGGCACTGGTCACTAGGTAGTTCCTGGAATGCTTTTGCCTTAGAGATTAATGGCCAAAAATTTATAGCTGACGGCTCTCTTAGCGTTAGAAATAAAAATAAATACATATCTTTTAAATCCACGAGCATTAATATATGATTAAAAAAATCCACACCTATTTTGTTAAATTAAAAATTAATATTTAAAAAATTGAAAAATGTTAATTAAAGAATATTAAAAAATCCACCCATGCCTTTTATTAAAAAAAATATATTTTTTAATCCAGGCATATTTTGAAAAAATTTACTCCAGGTACATATTTGGTACAAAATTTTTGTTTTAAGAAAATTTATTTATTTTGTATTTGGAAAAAATATTTTTTTAAACCAGTAAGGAAAGTAGTAAAATCGGACTGGGCCGATTATATGATACCCTTCAACACTTTGGGTATATTCTACATATGTATATTAATTTCAATACGTTGTGTCAATCGGCCAAGCTATGGATCTTTAGTGCATAATTTACTTAAAATCGGACGACAATATTTTTGGGAGCTATATCTAAATCTGAACCGACTTTTACGATACTTAGCACACATCATTAATTCAGTACGCTATGCAGAAATTCCTGCAAATCGGAAGACATATATGGGGCTTTGGTGCTCCTTTAACATAAAATTGGACGAAAATATATATGAGAGCTATATCTAAATATGAACCGATTTTCCCGAAACTCACTACTCATTATTCTAGACTTAATTCAGTACGCTATGCCAAATTTCGTGAAAATCGAATGATATATAGGGACCGATTACATTAAATCGGACGAAAATATATATGGGAGCTATATCTAAATCTGAACCGATTTTTCACAATTTCAATAGGACTCGTCCTTGGGCCAAATAAGTGACCTATGCCAAATTTCATCCCAATCGGATCATAAATACGACCTGTACTTTGTTTACAATTTAACATGGACAGACAGACGGACGGACGGACAGACATTCATAATTCGACTTGGAAAGTGAAAATACGTAATTCTAAACTCAATTCAGTGTGCTATACCAAATTTCGTGCAAATCGAAATATATATAGGGACCCTGGTACACCATTTACATTAAATCGGACGAAAATATATATGGGAGCTATATCTAAATCTGATCCGATTTACACGAAACTTAACACACGCCATTCTAGACTCAACTGAGTACACCATGCAAAGTTTCGTGAAAATCGAAAGATATATAGGGACTGTGGTGCACTATTTACATAAAATCGGACAAACTATATATGGCAGCTATATCTAAATCTGAACCGATTTTCTCGAAACTTAACACACGTCATTTTAGACTCAATTCAGTACACTATGCAAAATATCAAGGAAATCGAAAGATATATAATGACTTTGTTGCACCTTTTACATAAAATCGGACGAAAATATATATGGGAGCTATATCTAAAAAATCGGAAATCTGAACCGATTTTCTTTACACTTAACACACGTCATTCTAGACTCAATTCAGTACACTATGTAAAATTTCAAGCAAATCGAAAGATAAATAGGGACTTTAAAGCCCCATCTACCTTTAATCGGACGAAACTATATATGGGAGCTATATCTAAACCTGATCCGATTTTCTCGAAACTTAACACACGTCATTCTAGACTCAACTGAGTAAACTATGCAGAATCTCGTGCAAATCGAAAGATACATAGGGTCTGTGGTGCACCATTTACAAATTTCATGCAAATCGAAGGATATATAGGGACTTCGATGCACCATTTACATTAAATCGGACGAAAATATATATGGGAGCTAAATCTAAATCTGAACCGATTTTCACGAAACTTGCCACATCATTATAGACCTAATTCGGCACGCTGTGCCAAATTTCGTGCAAATCAAAAGATATATAGGGTCTTTTACATAAAATCGGACGAAAATATATATGGGAGCTATATCTAAATCTGAACCGATTTTTACGAAACTTAGCACACATCATTCTAGACCTAGTTCAGCACGCTGTGCCAAATTTCGTGCAAATGGAAGGATATATAGGGACTTTGATGCACAATTTACATTAAATCGGACGAAAATATATATTGGAGCTATATATAAATCTAACCCGATTTTCTCGAAACTTGGCACACGTCATTCTAGACTCAATTCAGTACTCTATACCAAATTCCGTGCAAATCGAAAGATATATAAGGACTTTGATGCACTTTGGGTCAAATAAATGAGCTGTGCCAAATTTCATCCAATTCGAATCATAAATGGACAGACAGAGGGACGGACATGCATAAATCGACTTGAAAAGTAATTCTATGTATATTCTCAAAAGGAACCATGTGTCTATCTCGTTTCCTTTTGCCTGTTAAAACATATGCACAACTACATAATACCCTGTACCACAGTGTGGTCAAGGGTATAAAAAAGGTGAAGAGTATAATAAACACGGTGCAGGCCGCAGTTATGAACCAATCTTCACGAAATTTTGCATGTTAGATGGGTTCGGCCCAATAAAGACCCCAATTGTTTTTTGGTAAAGATCGGTTAATATTAAGTGGATGAAATGGACCAAATACTTAATTTTTATCGGTTTTTCTGGTCGCTCCAAAGTCCGCAATTATGGCCCAAACATCTCAAATTTTTACAAGGAGAAGGGGATTGGGCCAAAGAATAAGCATGCCTGTTTTGATAAAGATGGGTCAATATTTAGCGGGTCAAATGGACCCTGACTTTTGTGTGAAAATTGACTAAATTTGTATTCTATAGCGTATATATTTACTCGTGAAGGACATAGAGCCGATAAGTTGATAGTATATCCAAGAGGAGTGATTAACCTATAAATTGATACCAATTATATTGTCGTATGTACTCGGATGTGAGAGTTACACGTAAATATTTACAGATGCTTACGTATTCAGATAATATTTAACAAACCATCACCACACTAGAGGGCGGAAATATAGCGCGGTTCGCTGTAAAATATTCCATGAGGTTCCATTTAGGGTCAAGGACAACGCCTATAATTTTCGGTGATGATCAGATAATAATTATGGGATGAAATGGACCGAAACTTTTTTCCTTTTTTCTTTCTTTTTTTTTTTTTTTTTTTGAATCGATCTATAGGCTACAATTATAAACCGAACATCACAACACAACCCACGGAAAAAATATTTTTTAATCAAATCCACGTCTTAAAAAAATATTCTTTAAAGAATCCCGCCTTCCATGCCTTTTGGTAGTCCTTGAAAAGAATCAGATGATACCCTAATTAAATTAGATGCCATCGAATCAAACGAGGAAAATTCCTCCCATCACCAATGGATAGCTAAAACTGTCATATCAAAAAAAAAAAAAAAACAGTTCCAGTTGTGATAATCAATTGTCTTGGCAGCCATTCAATTGCAAATGCCCCAACAAAGTGCAACAATGTTGCAAATGCAGAGGCATGCAGCTGCTGGTGTTTTCAATTCTCAGTTCAAATACTGGTATCTGGTATCAGGACAAGAGAGGAGTTGAGGCACAACAAAAGCATTCTTTTGATTCCTTCCTCAGTTATTTCTTCTATTTCTCCTTCTTCTTCTTCTATACAACAGTAAGCTAACAATGTATTTTCAAATGGTGGTGGAGAGAAGGAGGAGAAGGTTCATCTAGCAGAGACACACAGACATCTGTGTGTGGTGTGAAAACCCACACCACTCATCGCGGTATCTAAACAAGCAGAGCAATATCTTTTGGATGACTGGTCAGGATAGATGTATGACCATTTCCTGGGTCATGAATTTTCGAGAAGTGAGAACAAAAAAACTACAACAATCCCAAATGTAATTTATAATCATTCCCAATGGAGGGATATCCATGGTCCAGTAAGGAGCACAGAAGAAGATAAATAGTGTTGAGGGAGAGTGAGAGGTGCTGGACTTACCTGTTAGAATTACTGCCGTTGTATCACTCGATGCTGGCGATGCTGCTGTCGAACTTATTGATGTCCGACCATCTGGACTTTGTGACTGCTCCGGTAAACTGATGGGAGTGGGTGGTGTTAACGATGGCGATGATATCTGCGATGATGTTGATGACGATGAGGATGACGACGCCGATGATGACGATGAAGATGACGATGCTGCTGTTGATGGCGATGAAGATGAGGATGATGCCAATGACAATGATGATGATATTCTGTTTGTTTGAGCGGCGGCAGCTGCACTGGATGCTGCTGCAGCTGCGTTTGTTGTTGGTATAGTTGTTGTAGCTGTTGCTGCGGCTAATGCAATAGATGTTACAGTTTCAATGTCCTGGGACTGTCCAAACACCGATGTGGATAATTCACCCAATCCTTTGTCTATTTCATCAACAATACCAAAATCGGGATATAAATACGTTGCCAAGGACGAGGACTCACTGTTGTCACAATTGTTATTGTTGTTATCACTGGAAATAAAAGAAAATTATTAATTAAAGATAAAAATGTGTTTTTAAAGCAACATGTGAAAACTATTTAAAATCTTTCGATTTCCACCAAATTTGGCATAACGTATTGAATTGGGCCTAGAGTGATGTCTGCCAAGTTTCGAGAAAATCGGTCCAGATTAAGCTCCCATATATAGTTTCGTCCGATTTCATGTAAATGGTGCACCAAAGTCCCTATATATCTTTCGATTTGCAAGAAATTTGGCATAACGTACTGAATTGAGCCTAGAATGATATCTGTCAAGTTTCATGAAAATCGGTCCAGATTTAGATATAGCTCTCATATATATTTTCGTCCGATTTTATGTAAATGGTGCACCAAAGTCCACATATATCTTTCGATTTGCACGAAATTTGGCAAAGCGTACTGAATTTAGTCCAGAATGATGCCAATTTCGTGAAAATCGGTTGAGATTTAGATATAGCTCCCATATATATTTTCGTCCGATTTCATGTAAATGGTGCACCAAAGTCCCTATATATCTTTCGATTTGCACGAAATTTGGCATAAGGTACTGAATTTAGCCTAGAATGATGTCTGTCAAGTTTCATGAAAATCGGTTCAGATTTAGATATAGCTCCCATATATATTTTCGTCCGATTTGAGACAAATGGTGCACCAATATATATCCTTAGATTTGCACCAAATTTGGTATAACGTACTGAATTGAGCCTAAAATGATGTCTGCCAAGTTTCGTGAAAATCGGTCCAGATTTAGATATAGCTCCCATATATAGTTTCGTCCGATTTCATGTAAATGGTGTACCAAAGTCCACATATATCTTTCGATTTGCACGAAATTTGGCATAACGTACTTAATTTAGTCGCGAATTATGTGTGCCAAGTTTCGTGAAAATCGGTTGAGATTTAGATATAGGTCCCATATATAGTTTCGTCCGATTTAAGGTAAATGGTGCACCAAAATCCCTATCCCAAAGACCTAAAGTTAGGCCTAGAATGATGTGTGCTAAATTTCGTCAAGATCCGTTAAGATTTATATATAACTCCCATATATATTTTTGTCCGATTTAGGTAAAAAAACTCATAATTTTTGTCCGATTAACACGAAATTTTGCACAACGTATCAAATATAGACTTGAATGACGTTATTAGGCAGCCATGGCTTCGATATGTATTTCGAACGGGCGTCTGATTGAGATTAATTTTTTAACAGTGCGGCGTACCGAATAGCGTGTATCAATTTTGCTATAAATCGTTCTCCATAAATTTGTCCCATGGTACGCAGACAACTCTAAATCTGCCCGAATGAACTTATATTTATCATAGGTTGCAGAAAGACATGAGTATGTTCCTTCGAGGGAACATTGACATACAATTTAAAGGATGCATATGTACAATATACCCAAAGTGGTGAAGGGTATCATATATTCGTCCCGGTCCGACTTTACTACTTTCGTTACTGGTTTTTAAGTTCATTCTTGTAAATTTTATAATTAATATTTTTTAAAACATCCACGCTTGTAAATTTGTTGTAAAAAATTATTTTGAATGCATCCACGCTTGTAAATTTTACAGGGAAAATATGGCTTAAAAATTCACCTAGGCAATCTCTTAATTTCTTATAAAATTTATTGTTGCAGCTGCTCTTTTTGGAAAAATATTCAAGCATGATTTGTTGAGAGCAGAATCAATAAGCTTTGCTTAAAATTTTTAATAATTATTTTTATTTTTAAGAAATATTTCATTCCCTACATACCCAATTAGAATACTTTCACAATTTTCATCAATTAACGGAGTTCCCGGATACTCCATGGATTGATGCCAGCCCTCGGTGGGGCGGGTCTTAACACCATTAGACAAATAATATACATTTAAACTGATGCTGATGTCTCTTGATGGGTTTTAATTTTTAATTAGAAAAAAATAATCTGTCACTTGGTCGTAGATAAATTAGTTGATGTTTGAACACCGCACGAAGTAGGTAGATATTTTCACTTTGTGATTTTTTTTTTGGTTAACAATGCTCACTTTTATATATTAGATATTTAGAAATTAATTTTGTTTTTCTTTTTTGGATTTTAATAAATTTTAATTTTTATGTTTCAAAATTTCCAAACATTTTTTATTTGATTATTAACCGGTTTTTTATTTGTTAATCTTAAATTTTTATTTTTTTTTCACTATTTCTCACTGTCACCATGTTTGGGCATGAAAAACTTTAATATGACCGCATTTATCATATCAGTTATTTTTTTTTAGTAAATCCGTCTATTGCACTTTAATGTGGAGAACGAAAAGCTTTCGTCGTTTCTTCCTTTCGTTTGCTTTGGCATGCACCACTTTGTGTTTTTTATTATTATTATTTATCAATAGGGATTTCCCTACATCTCACTCTCTTGTTGGTCGGCTGGTTGGTGTTGGTAATAATGTTGGTTCTCTTGATTGTGTTCTCTTCCCTTTAACTCCTCTCATTTCAGTTGTGCAGTTGTTGTTATCTTTCCTGTCAACATTATCATCACCATCGCCATCCTGTTGTATTCACCGTTATAAAACTTCATACGGTTTTGCTTTTTTCTGTTTTGTTGCTTGGCCTACTCTACTCTGGTGGCAGTTGCTTTGTTGTTATTGTTTCTGTTTGTGTGCTGTGTTTTGACCGGTCGTAAAGCCCCCATTCGGCATCAGACTACAACGACAAACGAGTGCTTGCTTGCTTGTTTTTGGCAAATGTTTGTTGCTGTTGTCAAGACTCTCTTTGCTCTGTTTTGTTCTTCCTTGTCACTGTTGTTGGTATGTTGGCATATGGCTTTGCCGGGTTTCACTTTATTTACCGTTATTTATTTTTTTGTGCAGGATATTAGATCGTAGGCAGGCAGAGAGTGACACACACACACTGGCACTCACATGCCGACAGCCGCACAAGGAAATGCAGCTTTTTTCTAGTTCTTCTCGAATGGAAATGAGCCGAACTATTTTTTATTCCTTTTGCAACACTTTTGTCCTGCTTATTCTTGTTTCTATTTTTTTTCCGATTAAAATTATTGATATTTCACAAACGCACAAAAGACTTTTTATATTTTTTAAGAATTTTTTTAAGGATTTTCCGGGAAATATTTCACTTTAAGACATTCGAAATAGTTTAATTACTTTATTCACACTTCTTTAGCAATCATGTTGTAGGCATTTAATTCCTTTACATTTTTCGTTATCTTTTTTTAGATTATCTTTACAATTATTAATCGATTTTTATTTATTTGAACACTTTTTTATTAATATTTTATTATTTTATGTATTATCCTTCCGCATTGAACAATCCTTTTTAATTGGAAAAATAAAACACATTTGTCCACTGCCTGCCTCTTGTCGCATTTAACAATCTTCGCACAATATTCAATGGAAACTGCATTAAAAATTCATTTTGACATTTATTTCAATTTGCGTGGTCTCTCGCTCTTCCTTTTTTCCTCTTTAGATTGCATTGTTTCTACTCATAACCCACATTCTCTTCCTTGTCTCCTATTTTCTGCAGTTGTTTTTTTTTCATTCTTTTATAATGGAACACTTGTACTAAATAAGCCAACAACAGTAGTGGTCGTGGACGGCAGCCAGGCAATAGCAACAATTTTACATATTTAATAACAACAACAAGAAAACTTCATCCCCTTTCTTGTGTGACACCAACAAACATACAAACTGAAAAGCTAAACTAAAGCACAGTCGGGCGAAGCACCGCACGCGTGCACTCTCGCGAGAGTAAGTATCACTATTCTCTCACACACATTCAACTGAACCCATTGAAAAACCATTGACACACACACAAAGACAAGTGTGTGAGAACAGAATTTTTTATGCTCTGCCCGTGCCTGAACTAAAGCTTCATCACATTGCACCATTGCAATTTGAAGAGATTTAGGGTGTGAGTGAGAGAGAACCAAAGAACGAGAGCGGTACAGGTGTCTCCAACCAACACCAAAAAAGATATGGAAAACGTGTTAATGCAACAATAACAAGGAAATGCAGGACAAAAATGTAAACAGAGAGCCCAGTTAGATATGAGGAGAAAAGGAGAAAACAAAATTATTTCTCTTCAATGGGGTTAGTTAAAAGAGAAATACATGATGCGATGCCATATTGGTGTAACTTAATTGTATTTCCGTTAAAAATTGAGCAGAAGTAATTATTTTTTAAATAAAATTATAAAAAATATATATCTTTGTTGAAGTGTAAACATTTAAATTTTTTTAAGAATACATTTTATTAAAATTCCTGATTTTTTAAATAATCTTCATTAAAAAAAAATATTTTGTTTTTTTTTCAATAAAATAAAAACCAGTAAGCGGGCAGTGTAGTCGGGCGGGCCCCACACAACTATCACGGAATTCCATGCGAATGTTTATTTCGAGCCTGGGCAATATTTCGTGATATTTGCACACTTTTGACCGATTAGAAATCAACACACCTCTTCCTTACACTGACATATTTCCCCGAATATTTCCAATATTCAGTACATCCCTGCTAATTACTTATTCAGATTCCATTCACCTTGGTTGTGTTGTGATGTTCGGCTTGTGGCCTATCGACTCGAAAAAACGCCAAAAATTATGTTGTGGCCCCATCATCCCAAATTTTTTTTATGTGATCATCACTGAAAATTATAGACGTTGTCTCTGACCATTCCTGGATCCTCATGGAAAATTTCCAAGCGATATGCGCTATATCTCCACCCTCTAGTGTGGTAATTGGTTACTAAATAATATCTGAATACGTAACATATTTAAGTGTATATAATTGGTATCAATTTAAAGGTCAACCATTCCATTTGACTCGCTAAATATTGGCCGATCTTTATCAGAACAGGCATGCTGGTCCAATTCCCTTCTCAATGTAAAAATTTGCGTTGTTTAGGCGGCGTCTGTAGCTACCCAAAAATCAGACAAAATTAAATTTTTGGTTCATTTCATCCCGTAAATATTAACCGATCTTTACCAAAAACAATAAGGGTTTTCGTAGGCCAGAACCCATCCTACATGCAAAATTTCGTGAAGATTGGTCCATAACTATGGCCATAACTACAAATCATAATGGACGGACGGACGGACACACATGTCTAGATCGACTCAGTCGAGATATTACGATCGGTATACTTAAAGGTGGACCAATATTTCGCGGCGTTACAAACTCTTGGGGCAGCACAAAGCTATAATACCCGGATAACATAGTTGTGTAGGGTAAAAATATATAACTTTTGAACAATATTTTTTAGGGATAAAACTAACAAAGAATATTTTGGAGGTCCTTTAAACAAAGAATTTTGATTAATAATGCGGGTTTTAGCTCATCTAGAGCATGTCTTTTTAAAGGACTTTTATGCAAAGTTTAATCGGACACGCGTAAGGTCGTTCGTAAACTATTTACAGAAAATCGAACGAAAATAGATATGGAAGCTATATCTAAATCTAAACCGTTTTTAATGAAAGTTTACACACAACGTCCTTGACTCAATACGCCACGCAATGCAAAATTTCGTCTCAATCGAACAAACATTTGCATAAAATCAAACGAAAATAGATGTGGAAGCTATATGTCATAGGTGCCCAAAATTAAAATGCGTTAGTATGTGTGAGAGAAAACAGAACAGTACTGAACAAAATTGTGTGTACATTTTTGTGGTCGGAAAAAATTATTGATGAATTTAATTTTTGTTATTATATAAAATAAAAGTATTATTAAAAATGTTTTTATATGAATTACAAAGTGTATATGTCATAAAAATCTAATAAAGTTTATAAAGTAGCATATACCGAGATAATAATCATATTATACTATTAAATAATAATATTAAATACTACGATAATTATCAAATATTTAATTCTTTAAAAAAACAGAAATTGTTCTGTTGTTTTTAAAATTTTTTAAACATACAAAACGCATTTTGAATAATAATATAAAAATCCAAATATACTGAAACACTTTTATCCCTAAGTGTTATTTCGTTGATTTTCTAGTTCTGCGGACACGACGTCGTGCGCGCACCCCAGCATGTGTTCATTCGTTGCCTGTCAAACAACGACTGACTGAAAGAGCATAACAATGCGTGTGAGTAGGCAGCTACTTTAAAGTATACTGATGGGCACCTATGCTATATGTAAATCTGAAGCGCTTTTATCAATTTTAATAGAGTTTGTCCTTGAACGAAATAAATGTGCGGTATCAAATTTCATCCAATTCGGATCATAAATGCAACGACTCACAACGTGATTCTATCTATCCATATCCTCAAAAGTAACTATGGCTTAATCTCGTTTCCTTTTGCATGTTTGCATATGCACAAATACACGCCACTGTACCACAGTGTTGTGAAGGTTTTGTATCCTTATGGCTTAAAAATCCGTATTCGGCTGAACCTTAAAAATATATTTTTTATATAGTTTCAGATAGCGTTGAAATATTTAAAGTCTTACCTTCTTCACAATCCCACTTATTTTGTATTGGGAATCCTTTGAATTAGTTGCTCTAGACCGAGCATAACTTGATTACCCACCCACATTTTACAAACACACGCAACGTCACACAATGGTCACTGGAAACTGTATGCCTCTGCTACTGCACTTGTTATTCTCGGCTGTCTATGGCACATTGCCGGTAATTTTCATTAAATTTCACAATTTCCCAGTACTTTAAATGCAGATTTTTCCGTTTTCCGACATTTTCACAATAATTTTCACATTTTATTAATATTTTCCCAGCTAGCATTTGGAAGATCATTTTTGAAAAAATCACCGTAGGGAGTCTTTAAAGAGTCCTTTGGTGATTAA